TCTATCAACTTCAAACGTGAGTTTCACCCTGATATGTTAGGAAATGGGTAAAGTAGTAAACATAAAAGTTTTATCCTGTCTCTTAACTTTTCAATGGATTAAGAATCACATCAATTGGACTTCTGGATTGAAAGATTTGCTCCAAATACCGCATCATGTTCAGTCTTTACATACTGCTGCAGTGGCCCGACTTTGACAAATATTTTGACCATGATCCAATCAGAACTGGGCAAATTAGTGAACATAAACATTGTATCCCTTCTTCTTATAATTTGATTGGTCTAAGAATCACCTCATTTGGAGTTTTTTAGAAAGAGATATGGTCAAAATACTGAAACATATACGAATGAAGCTATCACCATACTTGCACTGATTTTCATCAAATGAGTCTTTTTCATCAATTTTCTACAAAAGCTATAAGAGAAATTAGCAATAACTACTCTTAAAGTAATTTAAAATAAAATAACCTAAAATTTAACTAAAATAACTTAAATTAATCACTTAACAAGTAATCAAACTTAAACTAAAAAAACACCTAAAATATAAAATTTAAACCTAAAATCTCAAAGATCTAGCTACTTTAGCTCCCAAAATGAGTCAAAATAACTCTATATAATAGAGTTATCAATAGGGCCATATACCAACTTGGCAGCCCATTCATCATAATTTAGCACAGTCCTTAATCCATAATTCATATCGCACTTTGTGTGGGCGTCTTGCCCTTAGTCCCACATACCTTGGGTTCTAACACAATGCCACCTTATGGCTCACCACAAGTCATACAAACATAAATTTCCTATCTTAGATAACAAATTTGCGTAAGCATCCTTATCTATGCACACAAACATATGTGCTCTTTAGCCTAAGCATATATCTCAAGGTAAACATGCATATACACACACACACATATATATATACATATAAATTATCTAGCCTATGCATTCCCATCTAGGCATACACACAACATTTAAGTACCATGGCAACTCAGACATTATGCAAGATGCATCACATGCATTTAATTAAATCTCACTCATAATGACAATTGAAGGCACATACACAGCCAAGTTTCGATGCTTAGCCTCTAACCGTCCTTCAACTTGCCCATGAGTAAAATAGCTTAACTTTCCTTTTAGATACATCAAAACACCAAAATCATAATTAATTCCTAGTATTAGAAAATATCTAGCTTTTTCAAAATAACCCATTTCTTATCAATCCAATATATAAGCTCAAATTCCTCAATAATGAGCTAAATCCTTAGCTTAGATGCTGGATTGCCCAAATCTTATCTCTAAATCCTCAACAAAGTCAAGGGAAAAAGATTTCACAAAATCTGAAATTATATAGATCCTCGGTTATTAATCGATTAAGGTTTCAAAGAAGGTAGAGAAAGAAAGAGAAAAAGAAAAGGTAAGGGTTTGTGCATGGGTTGATGCCTAGACCATTTTTATTATTGCCTTTATCTAGTTATGCATTGATACTGTAACGACCTCTTCCCCTAATCGTTATCGGCATTTGAGACTTACTAGTGAACTCACCAAATCCCGAACAAGCCTTAGTTGAGATTTCGAACAATTTATAGTCGACTTGTAACATTAATGCTATCGTTTACTTAAACCAAATAAACACAATAATTAAAATGTAGCGTTCAGATACCAATAACCAAATTTAATAAGTCCTAAGTAATTTCAATATAATAGGTGGTAATCATTACACAACCTCAAGTTTTAGCAAATACATTTCCAATAGACTATTAATCATTATAAGTCTAACTATTTGACACAACACGACCTCTAGGCAATAGAACGACTCGAAGTGGAAGTCTAAGAGATGCCTTTACCTATGTTGCAGCTAGTCTCGATGTGCTGAGCGATGCACTTGAACCAATTACTTATCTGCAAAAGGAAATAAGGGGGTGAGTCTCACAGACTCAGTGATCATCAACTCCGTGAGTAGGGCATAGATAGGAAACAAGCTAAAGGCAGAAGATTTGAATATTAAAAATATAAGAATATATGTAAACAAATTAACTTAGAAAGGGAGGTTTGTGTCTTATATGTAAAACCAGTAAGTTAATACAAGATAATCGTTTAAATCAGATATCAAACCAATTCATGTAAAGATCTTTGCCATTTAAATCATTTAACAACTGGCATAAAGCAACTTAGTATTGTCGCGTGTGTTCTCATAAAATCCAACATTAACAAAGCTTATATGCAAATTCATAAATCACCTCGAATGCGAGGAATTAAATCCAATGTCATCTTAAAGTAGGGAAGCTGTGGAAAAAAAAAACTGTTATTTCTCACAATGAGAAAAACTACGTACGTTAAAACCCAAAGAGATATCACTCTCGAGTAGGTAATAGAAATAAGA